TCTATCTTCGTTCAGTTACGTATTGCTATCTACTAAAAATAAAATTAAAATTAACATTATTTTTATTACTATTCACTATTGTAAGTTATCTGTAATTTAACTAAAATAAAAACACTATAAGTGTTGGTTTGATTGTCTACTATGAATTACACCAATAATTAGATATAAATATTTTATTTATTTTGTTAATCATGTATTGAATATAACACTATCGTTTAAAAATATTGAATTTAATAACTCTGATTTTTATTTTTAAATACCTTTAAATATTTTAGTATTGTGATCTGATAACACTCAGATGTATGGTCTTTCCTGGTGCTGATAGTATATTGCATTTTCCAAAAGTAAAATTTTTAAAATATAATAAGTATTCTTTATGCGTGAGTTTGTGTATTATTATTTTTAATTTATAAAGATAAATTTACCCATGACTTAAAGCAATGGGAATAGTAGCAAAATATATCATTTAAGCGACCCAGCAAATTATTAGTTGTGATAAATCCAAATCAGTTTATTACTTTTCAATGATTTTTACGTGGTTTTAAATCAAAGCTCCTATCACAGACTGTGAGAAATTGAAAAATACTGCTATCTAATAATAATATGTATCTTTTATAACTCTGATTTTTTAAATCAATCTAATATCGAAGGAATAAATGTTACCTACTTTAATGTATATATTTAAGATTATGAAAATAAAAAAATAAGAATCTTAATTTAGTTGTGAAATGTAAGATTAAAAAAAAAAAATTGAAAAAATTGAAAAAAATTAAAAACTACAGTATAAATAATAACAGTATGTAGTAATAATGGGAAAATGTCATTAATCATATAATTTATCATTTAACCCCATCATTAATTTCTGCAATGAGTAAACTGTTATTGTATACCTACTATTGAAACGTGGTAAGTCTAAAAATGAGAATTTTTAAGTACCTATAAGTTTTTGTCACTCTCTTATAAACGCCATGGACCAGAATGTGGACAATTAATTATTACGAAAAATAACAGGATTTTAATCTAATATATAAAATCCTGTGTTACAATGTAATAAATTTTAATTTGTGATTACTGCTTGCGCCTCCCTAGTGATGTGTATATGCCTCCCAGGTTGGGAACCACTGTCTTAGATAAATATTTTCAATTTATAATTCACAATTAATATACACTATCTATTTTTTAAATGATTATATAGTACGTATTATCAATGAAGAATTTAAGAATTTTCCAGAGAGAATGTTTTATTTGTGAGCAATTATACAAATTTTCAGAGAATTACGGTGCCAAAACATTTCTTCATTTTGTGGGTCTTCGATCCATATTAATTATCTCAAACATTATTTTATATTATCTAATATGTTTTGTTCACTATTATTATTTGCGTAAAACGTTGTAATGACTCCTTCACTAAGAATTTCGATACTATTTTCGGGCGTCGCACGAGTGCGTTCTGTTAATCCGGGATTGGTAAATTGGATCCCAAATGATCTTATCTCGGTAAGTTGAGTCCCTGATAAAAAAAGGTATTAGGTAATTGAGTCTCGGAAAAAATATATAAATTAAAATGTATGTGGTTCTTATACTATTATGTTCTCAATAAATAATATATGGTATAAATGATTAAAAAGTTGTGTATTGGGAATTAAATGTCAATACGCTAAGTAATATAGTACGTCAAATTTTACAATATGTGATATAAATAATTTTAAAAATGTTAATAAGCTAAATAATAAAGTACGTCAAATTTTATAATATACCAGTCTATACACACATTAACATCATGCGTAGAATTAATTGGTGTCCAGGCGGTGTACCACACTGTATGCAATATGACGTATTATTGTAACAATTTTATTATTCAAAAGTAAATTATATAAATATGAAATATTAAATTTTAAGTTTTTAATATTTTATACCTAATTGCCCTAATGATTTATAGCCGGGACCCAACTTACCTATTACCTTTTTATAGCCGGGACCCAACTTACCTACTACCATTTTATACCCGGGACTCAACTTAACGCTTTCTAAACGAACCCAAATTATCGCGGACCCAATTCACCTAACTCCCGTTAATCATATCGTACCTTTTTAATAGCCCGATTGCGTCCACGATAATATCACAAGTAATTTTGGTATATCCCATGTGCGTCCGCGATATTATTGCTAGTAATATTTATCATTATGGATAAAATGCATTGATATCAATGATATCTTATAATATTATGAAAAAAATATTAAATTCATTGAAGAAAATATAAGAAAATACAAAACTGAACAAATCTCTAGATATGATTATGTGAAAATCATGGCACTGAAAAGTCAACCAAAAAAATAATTTAAATATTAACCCAACATTTTAAAAATGGATGTAAATCTAAATAATTAAATAAACATAATAATAATAAACTTTTATAATAAATATAATTTAATAACCAAATAATTTTGGGGTGTAAGCCAGTTCACCTCCTCGTGGAGCACTCTGAGTAACTCTACATGAACTGGGACGTACTTGGGCTACGTCAAAGTAGTGACCTTTTCCTCTTGGGACGTACTCAGATGAGACCTTATTCCGGACGCATTGGGAACATTAAAAAAGGGACATTTTGGGATGCACTCAGGAGTTTCCCCTATTTTCAATCATTTATCGTAAGCAAAATACCTAACCCATGAAAAACTGCGAGTACACTGTCCAAGTGTGCGCTTCTTATTCTTATTTATAAGTAAGGGGATCTCATGATTCATTCGATTTCGTTATCATGGTTCTTCATTAATTGCAGATCGTGATTATTACCCACTATCTATAGTTATCGTTAGTTACCTCCCATATTCAAAATATGTACTCTTTTAACATATCACGAAATTTGACAAATTTAACACTACCTTTAATACTATAAATATTCGCTATCTAGTTTTTAAATGATAATAGAGTACGTAAAATTGAGGGTCAAGATATAATATACTTAAGCTGTGCGTAAAAAGTTATATCATGTATTATCAATGAAGAATTCGGGAATTTTCCGTAAGGGATGTTCTATTTTGAGCAGTTATACAAATTTTCAGCGAATTACGGTGCCAAAACATTTGTTCATTTATTTTGAGGATCTTCAATCCATATTTATCTCTAACATTATTTTATATTATCTAATGTATTATGTTCACTATTATTATTTGCACAAAATGTAGTAATGATTCCTTCGCTAAGAATTTCAATAATTTTTCAATTATCGTAGGTATAACACAACAATATTCTATTTCTATTTTATTTATTCATAAAATTGACATTATTTTTTTATTCAAATACAACTGCTAAATGACATTAATTCATATAATTCATCATTATAATTATCTATATAGGTGTATGATTTAAATATTTTAATTTTGAAAACAGCCTTTGTTTTGATATATTTTATAACTAAACCCTGTCTACATAGGCATAATGTACCTATATAGTATGTATTATTGCTCTCTGTTTTATTTATTTAATTATTTGTACAATTTTATAAAAATGTTTATTTTATGACTACATTAAATACATCTACGAGATTGTTTATGAAATATATCGCGTTAGTTAAAAGTATTTAATTAGTTAAATAACAAAAAGTACGTTTTGCAATATACCTGAGTCATATTTATCATTGTTAAAAAAAAAAAAAAAAAAAAATGAATAGTTTTATATTCTTTATGACTTTTGTTTTAACATTTCAATGGATCAACTGCAACGCTAATAACACGTCAAGTAATAAATTGTTAAACTAAAGTATATAGTTATTAATGTATATCTTATGTAATGTAAATTATTTTCTTAATTCCTTAGGCTAGGATCACACTATGCGTTTTGTCGGTTCCCGATCAACCGGAGCCAAACCGCAACACTCTAAAATAAAATAGGTTTAAATATAAAACGCGTTATCAGGGCCAGACTAGACCGATTTACGGAACCGATTAAAAACCGTCGGGAAGCGACCGCAACGTGTTGCGGCCCAACCGTCCGGTTGCGTTTCGGGATGTAAAGCACAACACATGCAATGCAATTTGTCCGATCACATTTTTTGTGTGGATTATCGGTAACCGAAATTGAAAATTTTATGAATAATTAATAATGATTTTTAAATTTAAATAATTAAAAAACTTAAAATATATTTGTAATATACATATATATATATATATATATATTATATTTTATTTATATTATAGATGTATATTATTATTTATTAGTATAATTAGTTGATACACGTTTTAAATAAAAACAAATAATTCTAATTACACAACCTTTTTATTATTTTTTTACTTATAATACTAGATACATTTCGTTTAAATAAAAAATCAGTTTAAAATTTAAATTTAAATTAAAAACGATTTTCGGGCTTTTTAATCTCATTTGTATGTATTCGGTTACCGATAAAACGCACAGTATGATCGATCGTCCTGATTGCGGTTAATCGGGATAGTATTTTTCGGTTGCCGACAAAACGCATAGTGTGATCCTAGCCTAAGGCTGACCTTACTGGTTGACCCGGAAACGTTCTCTATTTCATTATTGATAATATAATTAAATAATATTTTATTACGTTTCATATATTTTGTCACCGATCATTAGCTGAATTTTACACACACACATAACATAACAAATTATATTGAACTATATAATCCTGATACACAGTTTATAAGAATGGTTATCAGTAAATTAAAAATTTTAATTATATTATGTTATTATCATTTTGATTTTCAAACGTGCCATTAAAGTACTTACACTTATTAAATTAATTTTAAAATGTATTTATTGCAATTCACCATATTACTATATTTTGTCTTATTAGTGCATAATTTCGATATATTTTTGGTGCTTGCGAATCGATCAAACTGCATTATTCCGTGTGTTTGTGTACGAATTTGTTTTTAATTATTAATTTATTAGATATTGGATGTGCGACAATTACATTAATCGTATTTTCACACAATATTGTTGTGCCGTAAAAGTACCTTAATTTTAAAATCATTTATTTTTCGACTGAGAACAGCTAAAATCTCTCCACCAATTTGTATTATAAAATTTTTCAATGGATTCATGCGAAATATTACTTTACACAGTACTAGTAATAGTAAATTGGTTGGGTCACACTGACCTTTAGGAATCATGTAATATATATCGACACATTGGATACCATAAGAAACCTGGTTTCCATTTATAATCTCAGTTATTCATGGACCATAGTAGTTCTAAAGCTTAATGTTTATACACATTTACATTATTTTTCATACACTTTAAAACTCATTGATGTCGCTCTTCTATCAAGTGCACATAGCCAGCGCATAAACCTGTTCTTTATCTGTAATGTGAAGCTAACCCTCTATGTAAAAGTTAGCCAGTTAGCTACCTATTTTTAATAGTAGAATGTTTACTGATGTTAACGATAAAATCTGAAAAAGCACAATAAAAATGTAATTATTTTAAATCAGGGCTTGCAAATGTTATAATAAACAAAAAACCTGTAACGTAATTATTATGGAAAACGATAAATATAAATAGTAAAATAACACAAAACAAAACATAACGATTAACAAAATATATGATATATCATAAAACAAAACATAACGCAAAACGTTAAATATAGTATATCATTAAATGAAATAATTAATTACCAATAACTTAACAATTATAATTTATAAAATATATTATAAATTTTAATTCTGAATAACGATAAACGAAAAAGTTGAATAACGGTAAATTATGAATAACAATAAACTCAAAATTTGTATAACGTAAAAGAAAATTGTTTTTTCAAATGCAAGCCCTGTTTTAAATACGTCGTTGCGAATACCTTTTAGAAAGATAATAATAAAACCTACGTATAAATTTTAATTCCTATATTATATTATTAAAATACAATAGAATAATATTGAAATGATTGTTCGTCGTTCAAATATTTTCAAAAATTATTGTAATTTTATATTTTATAAAGATTATTAAGTGTAAAGAAAACTGATTTCATTGAGCAATGTATAAAATATTCAATCCTAAGTTATACAAATTGAATAATTGATTTATTTTTAATCATAAATATACTTGGTATTTTTTTAAAAACTAGATTTTTAGATCAATAATTAAAATAAAAAAGAAGAAATAAGAAATTTCTAATATTATATACATTCTTCTTTAAAACATACATTTAATTTTAATTTAATAAAAATTAATTTTTTTGATGATTTAAGTTACAGTGAAAAATGTCTACGAATTTTATTCCATTTATACTACCTATAGTTGCGTATAACATAGTAAGAAATTATTATTTTTACTTTTCAGAACTTGGAATATCACCATGTATGTATGCAGGCGATTTTGATAGTTCTGGATATTATTGTCCAACAACTACCATGAATATTAGTTTGTTACCATCTAACTGTACTTCATTTGTTTATGAAGGATTCAATTATGATTATGAACTCAATATTATGTTACCAGGCCATGCTAAAGGTAAATTAAAACTATCACTGAAAAAATGACCATTAGTTGTGCTTATAAATTTCAAAAAAAAATATATATATAGGTATAGATACTAGTAATTGTATTTTTTAGATTCCGGGTAGATCATTGTATGTATAGCGACATAGCGTATATTATAATTATTCTTTGTTTGAATAGATATACGATAAATTATATAGACTCTCAAGAATTGTGATGCTTTTGGATGTAAAATGAAATTTAGTTTGTATTTAAGGAGTATATTATATTAAAATTTTTTTAGTATTTTTTCTTAAAATGTCAATGAAAATTAAATGCTTGCTCAAAATTTTTGTAATTTAAGGTTAAGATTTCACAGATTTACAGCAATTTTTTTTTTTTTTCATATGCTTTTAAAGTTAAAAATGTAACAAACTACTTCAATTAGCAAAATAACACATTTTATTAGACACAACAACATTATTAATTTATTTTAATACATTGCCTATTTATATATTATTTTTTTATGTTTATCAACTTTTGTTCATATAATATATAAAATTAATTTTTTTCAACTTATAATTAAAAAACTGTTCATTCTAATATTAATATTTGTAGGTATTATAAGTATAAGAATAAATAAAAATTGTGATCGAAATCAATGTAAAATAGATGCGTTTATTTACGATTAATACATTAATAAATTATTTAATGCTTATAAAATATTTTAAGTAAGTTTATTTTATAGCATTCAAAGGATAAATATATTTCGTAGTAAAAAAAAAAAAAAATTATACATGTGATTATATCAATGAATAATTGACTTTCATAATAAATACTATATAATTTTCATTATGGATTATTTTTTTTTTTTTATTATTTACAGGTAACATAATTAGTCTTTGTACATCTGGTAAGCCAGTGTATTTATATCTTGATTACGCTGAACAAATGAATTGGATGAATGAGGTTAAAAATGCAAGTACTTCAACAATCAAAGTACTCAATTTAGTAAATATGTTAGATAAACATAATATAACGGGTTTAATTCTAAAGAATTTGAATAGTTATCCAGTAAGTACTAAACTATTAACAAAACTTATAATAGTAAAAATTAATATTATTTTTATTCGATAAACTTGGTTAAAAATCATTTTATGTTAAACGTTATTGGAGTAAAACTACCAATAACTGTTATTATAAAATTGACAGAATGATTTAAAAATTAAAATAACTTTGAGAGTTGAATAAGAATAGAATTAAATTAAAAACTCAATGTATTAATAAATTTTGATTGCTTAATTTTAAAACCACGATTTGTTAGATTATGTTTAGTTGCAAATAATATGTCGTTTAATTTTCAGTCCTCGTAAAGTGTACAAAAATACATTCAATTTGGTTGCATCCAAAATAAAGGTAGCGCCTAAATCTGAAACAGCCATAGAATAACAATAACAACTCGACATAAAAACAAACATAAAATCTATTATATTTAATATACATTTTATATTATAAATGTATAATATAAATAGGATATAAATTAGTATGAATAACACATAAATTCGTGTTCACAGGTAGATGAGGTAGACCCAATGGACTCAAGTATTCTTTAGTTGTTTAGTAGGATATAAAAAAAGGTTTTATGAATATGTAAACAATAGTTGGATGTTGGATAACATTTCATTGTTCAATAATATCGACTGGAATTCATTTTTTCAAAAAATAATTATTAATTTATAGTTTAATTAGAGAATGGAGACATAAATATAAAAACATATGAAATAAATTAAACTGTCCTAACTGTTAATATTAATATTTATTACAAACAAAAATTTTAATTGCCGTTTTTTTGTACTAGAGCAGAATTCATATTAGATGATTGGACCTATAAATATAAGTCTAGGTACTTGTAATCGGTATTTATATTTATGATTGGTATACACATGAGTAGAGAATACTGTTTCACAAAACCTTGTTTATACTAAAAGTTATGAACAAGCATAAGTACTTCAATTTGGTTGCGACAAATAAAAAAAAAAGCACATAATTTTATTGCAGCTATACAATAACGTTAACATTCCGAAAAAAAAAAAATTCAATAAATATTTACATCATAAATTACAAAACTTTTATCATAAATATAGATTTTACATAATATATGGTTTAATATGAATAATAGTTAATTTCAAATTTGTATACTTAGTTTGACTTAGATATTTTTTGATAGAACATCAAATATTTTATGATACGTAAATTATAGTTAGATAACAATGATATATCACTTTGGTCAAAACCTTATCAGCAGTAAAATTTAATAAATACAGATATATTATTATTTACTGTCCTTAGCCTCAAGATGGTAATTTTGATGAATCATTTTACAAGAATTTGACAAATTATGTTACTGTATTAAAAACAAGTTCAGTGTTTTCTGAGGTTGGATTATTTATAAATGCAAGCGACATGATTTATCATAGAAATAATCCTAAGGCTCCAGGTTGTAAGTAACAAATTCAAATAGTTTATCAACCATCCTATAATTAGGAATAATTTTTTTCATAATTTTGTTTGATAGGGCTCGATTATGATAAATGGTTGAATAATATTATGGATTATTATATAATTAGTTTTGATAAATTTAATCCATGTAATGACAAGTTTAAAACTGGAATCGTTCCATTAAATGACAGTAATGTTCAGACCAATAATACCTTGGTAAATTTGGTATTTATACCTAGGAGTATATTTTTCCTTTTGCTAATATTTTATTTTCCAGGCGAAATTTCTAAATGTTTTAAAAGACTCAAAAATGCTAAAAGACAAAATTTATCTTGAATTTTCATTGAGCCCGACCGTAAATGACACAACGAACGAAAATCTACCCACGTGTTGCGTGTCATATAAAAAAGTATGCAAATATTACTAATTCAATATTTTGATTAATCCTCTAAAAAGTGAAATAAAAAATCAACTAATGTTTTTTATTACTTTTTACTATTAAGACGTTATCAATACAAAAATAAATTAAAATAAACAACACAATTAGAATTGGTTTATATTGCCTACAATCTGTCTACAATCAGGAACACTAATAAATTAGATATAAATATTTTATTTATTGTGATAATCATATGTTAGGTATAAAAGCACTATTAATTTAAAAATATTGTAGTCAACAATTTTATAATGATTTTTTTTTTTTTTTTAATACGTTTAAAATTTTTTAGTATTGTGAACCTGGCAACTATAATCTTTTCTGGTGTGCTGATAATGCTGATGCATTTTTTCAAAAAGTAAATTTTTTTAAAAATATCAAGTACTCTTTATGCTTGATTTTATGTATTATTTTTAATTTATAGGGTAAATTTGCAAGAGACGTAAACGCAAAAGGAATAGTAGCAAAATATATCGATACAAGTGATCCAACTGGAAATTGTGGTTGTGATAATCAAAATCAGTTTATTACTTATTCAATGATATTCCGTGGTTTTTTAAATCAAGCTCCTATCACAGACTGCCAAAAACTAAACCAAGTTACTAAAACATAAATATTTATATCTATCTGTTATAATTCGGAATTGTTTTAAATCAGTCTAATTATCGAAGGAATAAATGTTACTTACTTTAATTTATGTATATAAGATTATGATAATAAAAAATGAGTATCCCAATTTAGTTGTGAAATGAAAGATTAAAAAAAAAAAAAAATCAAAGAAAATTTACAACTATGGTAAAAATAATAACAGTATGTAGTAATAATGGAAAAATGTCTCTAATCCTTTAATTTATCGTTTAACCCCATCATTTATTTCTACAATGAGTAAAGTGTTTTTAAACACTATTAAAACGTGGTAAGTCTAAAACTGAGAACATTTAAGTATAAAATTTTGTCACTCACTTATAAACGCCATAGAACAGAATGTGGACAACAATTCATTTCGTAAAATAACAGGTTTTTAATAAAATTATACATAATGTGTAAAAAAACTAGGTACCTATTTATGATTTACAATGGGTTAAATTATTAATTCAAATAATTGTTTCCCCTAATCATTCGAATAAAAAAAACTTTCTGTGAATCAAACTTTCTGCTCGGTATTCTGAATTTCGAATTAAAGAGAAACTAATATTTATGCATGTTGTATTAATTTATAAAATAATATTGTAATGATATGCTCACACATCATAATTTATTGTATATTTTATCATTTCGTTAAATAAAATAACGGTCAAGTTGTCGCACGCAGATAGCCCTCAATAAAAAACCAATAATCCTCTTTTGTCACTGATGAGAGAATACGATCTACATTGTTCGGTCACGTGGGAACCTAAACGCTATTGCGACCATAGGGCGCAAAGTGTTTGACTTATTCTCATGTGCCGCCAAAGACAAGGGATGGTCCAATGAGGCTCTCCGTCGTCGGATAGAAAGCCTATTTCTTGAAGGACACGGAGGCCTTTGATGGAGCCGCCTGCGACTCTGGCTGGTCTTGACCACGTCGTTTTCTCCCCAGTGCAGGCGCATCACACAAACGAGCAGGAGCTCTTCCCAAGACCCATCACACACCCTACAACTCAAGACTGCGGGCGACAGCGGGACTTCTTTCTTTTTCTAAGATAAAATCAGTGTTGTTTTTTCTTATTTAAATTTAAATTTTCCTTAAGTCATATCGCAACTTGTATTATCTTATATCTTTCTCTGAGGATCGTACTACAGGTATACACCGCGGCGAACCAGGTAAGGTGCATGCCCTATATACTTATTGTCAGTACGAAATATTTTAATATTTAATTTACATACGGTGTATTTGGTCATATTCTCGAAACACGATCTCGAGAACCCTCCGAAGAACAGGAGGAAGGTAATAACGCAAGAACAAGAACATTCAATATTTATTAATACCGGACTTACATACAAGGCTTGTGTCCCTTGTGTCAGTCCGGCCACGTCATACTCATAACAAATACCCTTTTATAATAATTTTGAATATCTTACTTTCAATTTTAATTTCTCTTATTTTTGTGTTATTACAATATTAACAATTGTTGACTGTCAATAGTCTAAAAACTGAAAGTTTATCCATAAGAAATTAGGAATTTGCAATTATTTAATGGTAAGTTGTATGTAGTTTTATAGAAAATTAGCATAATACGAAATTACGAAGGATCTTCTTTAGAAATGTATCAACCAGATAAATTAAATAAATAATTCTGTGGCTTGGCGTGGCGCGTTGGCTGCTACCAGTCGCGGAATGCGACTGAGAGTAAGTAACGACCACAGCTACTAGCTCCCGGATGGGTGACCACTCGGGATCATAGTGGTTAAAAACCTTGCCACACATACACGTGTTTGCTATCAACCGTAACAATCATAAAAAATACAACCTACCATACCAACCTACAACGTAACCCTTACAAACAGCTAATGGCCCTAGTTGCCGGGCTTAAGTTCAATAAAAAAAAAAAAAAAAAAAAAAAAAAAAATAAATAATTCAATTTATTTATTTTAATGCTGTTTTATTGTAGTACAGTTATTGTCTAGTTTAAGTATAACGTACTTGAAAAAAATATGAATTATCTGGTAAAAAAAATAGTTATAAGTTTAATATAATATTTTGAAATTAACACTTTATATGCATATATATTGTTAAAATAATAATAATAATATAGTATTCACAACTTATAATCAAATAAATTAAAATAATAATATTATTAAATGAACAATAGTTTATTTAGTATAATTTGATCGCCAATTTAAAAATATCGTCTCGGTTTTGCTTTTGTTATATGTCAATTTTTATCCTAAATTCTTGCTTACATTTTAAAATATTGTTAATTATAAAACTAATAACTCAATAGTTATTTGTGCATCAATATTATTTCATTATTTATCTTTCGAGATTTCTGATTTGTAATGATATTCATATTATTATGCCATAAAGCTTCATAATTAAATTAGTAATAATATAATTTTTATTTGTTTAGTACTTTATATCATAAAAAACACGTTTTTGTAATTCAAATGTATTTACAAAAAATAAACAATAACAAATTAAAATGGAACAACAAGTAAAAGATCAAGTCTATAAGTAGTATCCCCAGTCTCACATTAAAGTCAGTCATGTCTACACCGAGTAGTCTACATCCAGTCACCAGTCTTTCCTCACAGAAGCTCACCGCCATTATTCTCAAAAGCAAGAAGAGTATCAATTCAACAATCCAAATTGATCTTGTTTAAACTAATGTTATAAATCTTATTCAAACTATTATTCTTATTTTATTCATTTAATGCATGTTAAATTCACATCTTAATTATTAAAGCAACCGGTTTTCAACACCCATCAGGTAAGAAAATATATCTAAATATTTATACTTCAGTACGTCAAGTACGAAAAGAATATCATCATTAAAAGTAAAAATTACACATGTAGACTCCGGTGTTCCAAGGAAGGTAAACATAATCTGTATTTATAAATCTACATCTGCGATCCCGAATAAATCGTAATAATATATAGGTTTTAACAAATATTAGACGAAGAGCGGAGAGGTAAAAGAACGTCGACACTCTTAATTTCATCGTTTATGTTTAATGAAATCTAACTATGATATCTTTTTCTTTTTTTTTTTTAACAAGAAATATAAAATCTATACACTTGGGCACAATAAGAATATGTGATATAATGTTTTTTTTTTTTTTTATTTTTTTTTTTAACATGAAAACGTGAGGGAACTATAACATCTAAAAAGTTAATATATTATTATGAAGTAAAGTTTCATCAGTAACTTTGGCCAAGCTGATTTTTGATTCATTACAGATTTAAAGTAAAATAAATTCAAATTTACAGTCAATTTGTGGTAAATCGAAGTTCTATACAACATAAATCTCGATATAACGTATAAAACTGTCGCTCTTTTGGAAATTAAATTAATGTCAAGTACTTGTATTACTCTAGATGTTTGACTTTCTTTTTCGCCTACAAACAGTTCTAGAAAGTATTGAATTATACAAGACATTTTTAACCAAAAAATATTTTACAATATATTTACTTAAAATAAAAAAAAAAAAAAAAAATGAAACTTGTAATGTTTTAAATTGTTACTCCATAAATGAGGTTTTTTAATTTACTTTGTTAAGCATTTTCAAAATATTTTCAGGTATGTTTTTATTGCTACTAGGAAATTCGTGTCAATAGATTTCTCTTCCATGTCATTCTAACAGTGTATTTGAATAATATTACTTTTTAGATCATATTGCAATGAATTTTTTATTTTTATGATGTATATCATGTTTACCTACCTACCTTACTTCAAAAGTGTGAAAATCATGTATTTTAATAATATACTAATATACACAAATATTATTATTAAATATCGGAAAATAATAATAACCAGTTATTCACAAAATCGATTTAGAATTTGTTGCCACTCCCATTTTTAAAGAAATATTGAGATTTACTTATAAATCACTATGAATTTCTAAAATGTATTCCTTAAAGTTATAAAACACGTAAAGAAATGTCAAAAACAAAAAACGAAAAACATCTATTAAGGTGTACCAAGCTATTATAATATATATATATATTTTTTTTACCTTTAAATCCTCTTTTTTTGCCGGTTAAAATCATCATCAAATGAATAGGTAGACCAGCAGTTGATATAATAGTGCATTTTACTATACATTACGGCGATACTTATAAAACCAAAAGAAATACCGATCAAAAATTCATTGGATAGATACATTTTTAATGAAACTTTTAACAATCTATACATGATTATTCATATACTCATAATGATTTTAAATATAATATTATTATAATGTTGTTATGCTTTAATATTTTTTAAACCGGATAAAAATGCAACAAAGAATAATTGTTTTATTTATTAAGTAATATAAGTTTAGACTAAGTCATACATTTTTTATCAAACTGCACAAACATTATTTTGAAAATCTTCATAATAAAATGAACCTATAATTAATGCTGTTTATAACTAATAAATATGTATTGTATACCAGATACTATTACAATTTATATAATAGAATTGTGTTTCTAAAAATATGTGAAACAAGTAAAAATAAAGTATTATTGCGTACGAATATGGCAAATAATATGAAAAATAACGAGAAGTACTGATAAAAATTGGAGTATTCTCTATTTAGGAACAACTACATAAGATGTATTCAAAAATGGAAAAGTTTTATTCTCCGAAAACATTTATACGATGTTATAAATATCATGGTTGAACTGATATAAGCGTGTAGCTATGGTATTTGTTTTTTACTTGACAGTACTCGTGTATGAAGTCTATTGTAAAATTTTGGGGTTAATAAAATTATGAAATTACAAATTTTATTTAAAAAATGTATTGATTTTTATTTTTTGTTGTATAGAGAAAGTAAATATTATTGTAAAATAGTTAAAATATATTTAACGATCGTTTAGTAAAAAGCAAATTGTAACATCTAAAAAAAAAAAGTTAGCTACGCTCTTCAATATAAATGAATCAAAAAATATTGAGATGTGAATATTTCATTTGTCAGAGAAATACTGTGGTGAACTAAGATAATGTTCAATTCTTAGTGACAATTAATCATACAACCTAGTCATCTAGACATACGTGTGAATATACACAGAATTCCATGAGCCATCATGTCCAAAATTATTGACGACTAGATTTATTCATCATAATTTTCTCAACTTTGGTTCTGCCGACATTTGAGAATTCTCAATGGAATGCTTTTAAGTGTTCACCACGATACCATTTCCAGGCTGTTTCAGACTTTCAATGGAAGAAAATTAGACCAATTACATAGAGATTATAAAGAAACATATAATTTTCGCGACATGCCAGAGGGTGTACACAATATTAAATGCCTACTAGAAGGCAGAAATTAGTTTTATACTCTGCACTCTTACAATTTAATCTGAGTTCGATTAAATATTGAGACGATACGAATTATTTTTGACAACTGCTCTGTTCACAAATCTTGCAGAAGTAAATCTTGATCTCTATCTAAAGTTATATATAGTGTCGTATTTGTATACTTTAGTTATATAACTACAGAGGAATTATTTAAAATAGAAAAAAACTATCTTTATAAAAACATAATTGCAGTTAATTTTGATTATTTATTAAAACAATTGTACAAGATAAAAGTGAGTTGGCATTTAACTACGGAAATAGATTTGTTAAGTGTAGTTTAGATATCCATTTCGTGAAATTTAATGTTGTGTAAATAGTGAAATTACGAGAAGTGAAATAAGCATTTATCGCATACTATTACACAATATGGATGTGGCATATTCTATACAATATGATACTAATACTAATAAAATATTGTAATTAGTATCAGATTTAAAAAACAAGGATAAATAGTATAAATACAATACGACTTCTGTGAGTAGTTGATTTGCTTTGTTTGTGAGTATTTGAATTAAAATTTACATAAAACTCTAGAAATTTCCGGAGGCACTATTATTTTGTGGCTAATTATACAATTTTTCAGCGAATTGCGTTGCCAAAACAATTGTTCATTTTGTGAGTCTTCGATCCATATTTATCTCTAACATTATTTTATATTATCTAATATATTATATTTACTATTATTACTTTCTAATGTATTTAAATTATATTATGTAGTTTTATCTTGTATAATTGTTGGGCTATAATAGTTACATTAGAAGCTATCAAAAAAAAAAAAAAAGAAAAGTTACCTATTATTTGATTAAAATAAATTCAGGAATCTTGTGCACAAAATTTATTAATGATTCCTTTGCCAAGAATTTCGATAATTTTTTAATAATTTATTATTTATCGTAGGTATAATACACTAATATTCTCTTTTTATTTTATTTATTCATATAATTGAGATAATGTTCTTATTCAAATATATTATATAACTACTAAACTATATTAGTTCATATAATTTATAATTATATATATGTATATAGGTGTATGATTAAATTATTAATTGTTTTAATATATTTTATAACTAAACCTTATCTTCGCAGGCATTATGTACCCATGTAATATGTTTTATTGATTTTTATTTTATTTGTTTGATTAATTGTACAGTTGTATAAACATTTTTATTTTATGACTATTTCAAATATATCTACGAGGTAGTTTTTAAAATATATCACGTTAGTTGAAAGTGTTTAATTAGTTAAATAACAAAAAGTACGTTTTGCAGTATACTTAAATCTTATCATATTAATAATTATTATATAAAAAAAAAAAAAAATGAATAGTTTTATATTACTTATGTTTTTTGTTGTTCAATTTCAATTGTTTACCTGCGACGCTAATAATACGTCAAGTAACGAATTTGGTTTTAATTATTATACTATTAGGTATTGAAAGTGCACCAATTACATTAATCATATTTATACGCAATATCGTTGTGCCGCAAAAGTACCTCAATTTTTTTAAATCATGTATTATTTGACTGAGAACAGTTAAATTTTCTCCACCAATTTGTATTTTACAATTTTTCAATGGATTCACGTGAAATAATATTTTACGCAGTACCAGTTATAGTAAATTGGTTGTGCCACACCGACATTTAGGATTCATGTAAAATGTAACAATACATTGAATATCATAAGAAACCTGGTTTCCATTTAGAGTCACAGTTATTCATATTCATTCTAAAGCTTAATGTTTATAAAACTTATTGATGTTGCTCTACTATCAAATCCACATGGCCAGGCAACAAATCTGTTCTCTATCCGTAGTGTAAAGCCAATCCTAAGCAAATGTTAACCATCAAGTTACCCATTTTTATTAGTATGATATTTATTAATGTTAACGATAAAATCAGAAAAAGCACAATAAAAATTTTAATATTTTAAATACGTCATTGCATAGACCTATTAGAAAGATAATAATATAATCTACGTATAAATTTTAATTCCTATGATATATTATTAAATTACAATAAACTAACTTGAAAAATAAGATATTTCTAAAATTGTATACATTTTTCTTTAAAGCATATATTTAATTTTAATTTAATCAAAATTAATTTTTCGATGATTTAAGTTACAATGAGGTATTTTTACGAATTTTACTCTATTTATACTACAATTAAAATACCTATAGTTGCGTATGACGTAGTAAGAATTTATTATTTTTACTTTTCAGATCTTGGAATATTACCATGTATGTATGCAGGTGACTATGATTTATATGGATATTATTGTTCAAAAACTCCCATGGCAATTAGTTCGTTACCCGTTGCTTGTACTTCATTTATTTATGATGGAATAAATTTCGATAGTAAATTCAATGTTTTAATATCAGAAAAAGATAGAAGTAAGTTAAAATTATCATTGTAAAAATGGCTATTAGTCTTGCTTACAAATTGAAAACAGATATATATATATATATTATATGTATATAGAATATAGATACTAGTAATTGTATTTTTTAGATTCTGAGCTAGTCAATTTATGTATTGATTACATAATAATGTCTATTTTTTTTTTTTTTGTGTGTGTGGATAAGTTAACGATAAATTAAATAGATTCTGAAAATTGGGATATTTTTGAATATAAAATGAGATTTGTTTTGTATTTTAAGGAGTATAAAATTCAAATTTAATTTTATTGAAAAAAGAAACAAACTAAACAAAATATTTATATTAATATTTTCATCGAACATTACAACTTTCAAATATGTTATTTTTATTGATGTTTTTATTAAATTTTATTAAATATATTAAATTACATTTTTTTTTAGGTTTTTCTTTCTAATAATATCAATGAAACTATTTGCTTGGTCAAAATTCTTGAAACTTTAGACCAAGATTCCACAAATGTTAGCCTTACATAAAAATATTAATAAAACATATGCAATTTTTATTTTTATATGCTTTTGAAGTTAATACGTAATGAATTTCGTTAAAATTGCAAAAAATTACAAACTATTTTGTAGTTGAAAATTTACTAAAACTTTTCTTTTGGTATCGCAGTTTTCTATAATATTATAATACATTTTATTAAACACAACAATATTTTTAATTGATTTTAATATCTTGCCTATTTATTGTATAAAATGTATTTATATTTATGTATATAATTTTTTATGTTCATCAACTTTTATTCATTAAATATATCAAATTAATTTTTTCAACCTTTAATTAAAAACAATTTTCATTCTGTTATTAATATTTTTAGGTACTATAACTTAAGAATAAATAAAATTTGTGATCAAAATCAATGTAAAATAGGTGCAATTATTCACAATTAATACATTCATCAAATATTTTATGCTTAAAAAATATTTTTAGTAAATTTATCTTATAATATTCTACTAATAAAAATATATTGTAGTAAAAAAAAATTATCCATATAATTATATCAATGAATGATTGACATTTATCATAGATACTATATTATTTTCATCATAAATAAATTTTTATTTTTATTTACAGATAACATAATTAATCTTTATAAATTTGGTAAGCCATTGTATTTATATATTGGTTACGCTAATCAAAGTTCTTGGATTAATGTGACTAAAAAATCAAATTATACAGCACTCAAAGTACTCGATTTAAAAACTCATCTAAATGGTTATAATGTAACGGGGTTAATTCTAAAGGATTTAAATTATGACCCAGTAAGTATTAAACTGTTAAAACAATAATTTATAATAGTATAAATAAATATTATTTATATTCCATAAACTAGATTAAGAATCATTTTATGTTAAACGTTAATGGAGTAAACCTACTAAAAACAATTAGTATAAAAGTGAAAGAATGATTTAAAAACTAAAATAACTTTAAAAGTTAAATAAAAATGTAATTAAATTAAATTAAAAATTCAACGGATTAATATATTTTGGTTGTTTCCTTTTAAAATCTCAATTTGTTAGATCGTGTTTAGTTGCAAACAGGGCTTGCAAACGTTATAATAATGTTATGATTATAACGTTATATTTGACAAAAAACGATTGAAATTTATAAACGTAATTATAACGTAAAACGATAAACATAAATAAATAAATAACACAAAACAAAACACAATGATTAAAGAAATATATGTATATCATTAAACAAAACATAACGCAAAATGTTATACATAGTATATCATAAAAAAAAAAATTAACTTCTATTATTTAATTAATAAATTATAAAATATAATAACAATTGTTATTATGAATATTGATAAACGCAAAAGTTGAATATGTTTTTATTGTAAGTAACGTATAACCAAATTTTTTTTCAAATGGAAGCCCTGGTTGCAAATAATAACGTCTGTTTGTCATTCCGCTTTTACTTATGAGATCGCGGTTAGCGAGAACGACTCACGTTTTGAGTTTGACGGAGGAGGAAGGGTTACCTACACAAAATGAACAGAATTATAATTAAATAAATTTTACAATTACTACAGTGCCGAAATACCTGAGTATATATATATTACGACAATTTAATTAAGCACTAAGATTCGGACACCCAAAACATAAACATAAACATGTGAAATATAATATAACAATATAAAATAAATATGGTCTTGGGTACAACGACCTCAAGTACCGCAATGTATTTAAAAAAGATGTAAATAATAAACATGAATTATCAAACACTAAGTTCGCAATATACAAATAAATTTAAGTTGCCACTGACCACGTGTGGAAAAATTATGAATTGATATGACTTGACAGGCTAAAGCAACAACAACGATTTGATCTCTTGATGGAACAATGACTCGAACCCGTAAAAAAAGCCGTGCACAAGTAATTGTAGAAATTGAAAATTGACACCTAGTGATCATACGAGGTTTGATTCATCACACAGGACAAACGAACACAACGTTGCGTTCAGTTCGACCGTTGGAAAAAGACAAAACTAGTATGTAATATAAAAAGCTTGTCGGCCGACACGATAGCTAATGGCCTGGTCTTGCCGGACACTGGAGGGGGGAGCTTGCTGGGACTTTATATTATCAATCCGCTAATTTGTAGAGTCTTAGCAAAGCTTATTAGGCGGTAATCGTACTGCGTTCGAATCGTACCGCGTTGCACTCTTATCGTGTGCAAGATACATATTATGTAATTTGGTCGCACCCAATAAAAGTAGCATGTAAATCTGAAGCAGCCATACAATAACGATAACATCGATATAAAACTAATAGTACGTGTCAGTGGCGTGGCGAAGTGAAATTTTTATCGGGCAATTCATTTTTGAATAAATCTACCTTAATTCTTACAGTACCTACCATGACCTGTGCCATACTATATACAACAAAAGAGCCTTTATTAAATCAATATAAATTACTTTATTTAAACGGCTGAAACCTGGATATTTCAGTTTATGATTCTAAAATAGATTATATCAATAATATAATATTTCTCAATGCTTATGCCGGAATCTATGCCGATGCCCTCATAGTCACTAGCATAATACTATAATTTCTTATTTTAATTTATTGCTTATTCGTAGAATGTACACAGTATAATGTTATTTATATGTAGGTATACTATTAGATAGCTTTTCTTAGCATAATTATAACTATTGAAGTTATTATTCTTATTAAATAACAAATTAATTCAGATGATGTAGTCAGGTAGTCTTGTATAATAATATTTCTACTAAATCCAGTACCCACCAACCCAGCACCCACTTAAAAATATCGGGCATCTGCCCTTCAAAATCGGTCAACACGCCACTGGTACGTTCAACCTCCGACTGTTAAACACATGTGTAATTCTCGCGACTGCACATCTTTAATAGCTTCCAATGTAAGTATAGTGCTCCGTTAATTACGTCGACGGCCGATGAGCAAGTAATATGTTATTGACTATTATTTAATAGCGTCCAAACCACGCGATGAATAATAAAGATAAAACAGACAAATCGCCTTTAACAAAATCTCCATAGAAAAAGAATATTTCAACATCTTGTGGGACAACTCTTAAAAACACAAACAAAAATACAAATAAACCTACTCCTATTTACACCTCATCAAACTCAAAACAAAACATAAAGTCAAGCAAAATATCATCATTAACAACAACAGCATACCGTCACTCACTACTTCTACTCCTCATCATATAAACACACCGTTTACCACCTCTACGACTTTCTCGATTATCTCCGCCGTTATTAATAATGACAACATCGACACCACTAATAAACCAAACGAAATCGTTATGGACTCCAATAACACCCCTCTCAACACACTGCACAATCACAATCAGACTTCTAGTATTGCCAATGTCACCTAAATTGAAAATACTTCATCTAGAGATCAAACACTAGTCTTTAACTCTATTGACAGCATTCGACAAGGCGATTATATACCGGCAATCAGAAAATTGATTTTCCCCGAAAAACATAATCTACATATCAAGAATTTTAAATAACCGTTTTTGTGTTTTCCTCTGAATTTAAATTATTCTCAAAACATAACTCAAAAAATCTGATACTATCACGATACACGATCGTACTATACCAATCCGCTGGTTAATCAACCCAACTAAAAAATCACATTGTCCTTCTATTCCAAATCAAGCAATCCTGAACGCGTTAAAAAATATTAACATAATCACAGTATCTCTAATAAACCATGTAAGAGCCGGAATAAACATTAAGGGATATGACCATATCCTGAGATTCCGTTGACAGAGTTTGTTAAACAAGAAGATACGAATAAACTCCTCGGGTCGTTAGTACACAACTGTCACCAAAAATCTTTCGGAATATTTTTCACAGATGACGTGATCAGATGTTTCCTGTTCAATGCAGTAAGACACACAACTGCATCATGTAATAAACAAATGTCCACCGCCAACACGACAAACACTCATACATTCAGCCATCCCCAATTATCACACAATCAAAACGTAATAAATAACAAACATCCAACTGAACTGTTGGACGATGTTCAGCCCCCTTAAAGTTTTCTAACCAATGAGACCATTTTCCTTAATAATATAAACCGACATGATTAAATGGAATATAAATCACAATCCAACCATTTTATGCCTTCGAGAAACAAATTGAAAAGACAAATTCACTCCAGAAATCAAAACATTCAACGTCTTTATAACTAACAAAACAGTTTGTAACCGCTTCAGTGGATCAGTTGCTATACTAGTTCGCTTCACATATCCAAGCACCGAAATACCAGTGAAATCAATAATCGAAGCAGTAGCTGTATCCATTCAACTTGAATCCATCATAACTGTTTGTAATATGATATATGTATATATACTAAATTAAAAACGATTCGATGCCTACAAAATTGAAAACATAATCCACCAACTCCCATTCCTTTTCACTTGTTAGGAGACTACAATAACCACGATGCGTACTAGGGATCCGACGACACCGATACAAGAGGGAAACAAATAGAAAAAATTCTGGAGAATAAAACATTATCTCCCTTACTAAAGGCGAACTTACTAAACTAAACCCTGCAAACGGCATATTTACATCGATTGACCTTTCTTTATGCAGCACATACCTCGCCCAATGTATAATTTGTTCAACTTTACCCGAGTTATATGAAAGCGATCATTTACCAATTAAAATACAGCTACTTTCTAGTAAATCTTCACCCAATACATCACTTCCTAGATGGAAATTAAAAAACCCCAATTAGGATCTCTTCTCTTAATTTACCGATACATACCAAACTTAATGAAACGATATCAACGATCCTCCCTTGGCCAAACTTCCTACTATCCAGACGTCAAGAAGTAATCATAAATTGACTCCATGTAGGACACACATGGTTGACCCACGAACATCTCATGAACAGAACGGAACTTGACTTATGCCTCACATGTGATGAAATTCTCACAGTCAAACACATTATCTACCACTGCCGAATCTACACAGACTTCCGATTCAATCTTCAAATTGTTGACAGGCGCTACGAAGTACTTGGTTCAAATCCAGACAACAATGAAAAAATCCCTCAACTAGTTAAAATCAGCTAATTTATATAACCTGATATAATGCTGTACTAAAATGTAAATTATATAAACATTTTCTTTGAAAGCCAATAATCTTTGTTATTGTAGCTATTTTCTAATAAAAAAAAAAAAAAAAAAAAAACTAACACAAAATATATAACACATATACATATTATGTAGGTAATATTTAATCTAAATAGGATATACTTTAGTGTGTTTAACAGATAATTCCTATTCTTGTATTCTCAGGTAGATCATGTAGAGTCAGCTGACTCGGGTATTGTTTAGTAGCATATAAAAATGATTTTATGATTATGTAAACTACAGTTGGATTACATTTCATTGTTTAATCATATTGACTGGAATTATTTATTTAAAAATGATAGTTAATTTATAATTTAATCAGAAAATGGAGACATCGAGAAAAAAACATACCAGAAAAATTAAACCATCCTAACTCCTAATATTAATATTTATTACAAACAAAAATTTTAATAGCCATTTATTTGTACTAGAGCAGAATTTATGTTCGGTAGTTGGATCTGTAAATATAAGTCTAAGTACTTGTAATCACTTTTTATATTTATGATTCGTATGCAGATGTGTAGAAAATACTGTTTCACAAAACGCTGTTTATACTAAAAGTTATGAACAAGCATAGGTACTTCAATTTGGTTGCAACCAATAAAAAGGAAAAATATAACTTTAGTGCAGCTTTGCAATAATGTTAACATGTCGATAAAAAAATAACTAAAAAACATTTATATAATAAATTATAATAGTACTTTCTTAAACATAGATTATAATATGAATAATAGCTAGTTTTTATTCTCAGTTAGACTTAGACATTTTTTTGATAGGACATAAAATATTTTATGATATATAAATTATAGTTAGTTACCAACGACAGTATTTTGTTCAAAAATATTAATTGATATATCAATATGGTCAAAAGAATATCAGTAGTTAAAATGTAATAAATACTGATATAATTACTATTTACTATCCTTAGAGTGAAGATGGTAATTTTGATGAAACATTTTATGAAAATTTGAAACAATATGTTACTGTATTAAAAAGAAAATCTGCATTTTCCGAAGTTGGATTATATGTGAATGCAACCTACATGATATATTATAGTCATCATCCTAATAATCCATATTGTAAGTAGTAAATGCAAATTGCTAATAAATAAACCCATAATTATAGGAATATTTAATTTGTATTTATATTAACAATATTTCTACAATGCAAATGTATTTATCGTTTTGTTTGATAGGGTTCAAATTTGATGAGTGGATGAATGATCTAATGGATTTTTATATAATTGGATTTTATAAATTTAATCCATGCAATGACCAGTTTAAAGACGGGATCGTTCCATTATATAATACTAAATTTTCAAACAATTCCTTGGTAAAGTATTTATAAAGTACTCACTTCATTTTAATAATATTTAATTTTTTAGACAACGTTCGCAAATGTTTTAAAAAACTCAACAATTGCGAAAGACAAAATTTATCTCGAATTTTCAGCGTGTCCGACACCAAATGACACAACGATTGAGTATCTACCCACATGTGCCGTGACATTTGAAAAAGTATACAAATAATAGTAATTCATGTTTTTATTTATCTGCATTAAAATATTAAAATAAACGACACAATAAAAATTGATTTTAGTTATCTTTAATCAGTATAACTTATGCATTAGTTATAAATATTTTGTTTTGAAAAAAAAATGTGTTAGGTAAAATGTGTTATTCAAGCAAATAACTATAACATTTTTTTTTTCTAATCTGTTTGAACATTGTTAGTTCTGTACATCTGACCACTACAATGTTTACTGGTGTGCTGATAATTCTCAATCATTCTTTCAAAAAGTAATGTTTTATAAAATATATAAAGTATAAATTAATTTTTGAAATTTTATTTTATTTTTTTTATTATTTATAGGGTAGATTTGCAAGAGATTTACCGGCAAAAGGAATAGTAACAAAATATATTGATACAATCGATCCAACTGCTAAATGTCAATGTGATAATAATAATGAGTATATAACATTTACGATGATGTTAACTGGTTTTTTAAGTCAAGACCCTGTCAGAAACTGTCCTCTTCTCTCTTAAATGATGTCAATCCAACATGAATATAAATAGTTATTTATTATAATTTGGAATATTTTATATTCATTCACTATTAAAACAATAAATGTGTTATAGTTAAATACATTTATTTATTCATGTAACTACTGATGTTATGTGTGCACTGTAGTGCTTAATTAATGTAATACTAATAATAATAAAAAAAAATAATAAAAACTCTGGTTTTGTATATTATAATAATAGTGGACTGTATTCAAATATAATTTTACAGCACACCACACACATGAAGTTATAAATAATTAATAATAAAATAATACATTCGTATAGCAATATATTACAAAATAATTAATATCAGGGTGTAGGCGCCCACCTAGTATATAATTCCAATTTTTAATATTTGACCAAAACTTACAAGTCAATACGGCTATGCATATAATAATAATATAATAATAACAATATAATAATATAAAAATTAATGGTAAAAAATATCGTGATCACCTTTTAATAATAGCACGTTACCGTACAGTGATTGTTCAGATTCCGTGACCCACGCGATGAAGATCTGACCGCAAATATAATATTAAATAACTGAAATGACCAAAAACATAAGTCGAGTGCCCGACGCATCGAGAAGGATTTCGATGATCCCATTGGTGCCCGCGCACCAATATAACTCGAACGGGCGTGTGATATAAAAATAATTGAGTGCACCCTTGTGCAAAAAATTGACAAAAAAACATTGTAATCCGTTACAAAACAACAATCGCTTTAAAAAAACCATGTGCCATCGACGGGAAAAAATGGCGACGCGACGCGTATAAAAACAACGATCATACGATGACGACGATGGGCCAGAGAAGACTAAAAAGTATATACAGTAAAATCTATGCATTTGTTCGCGGCGGCAGCCGATTTGCTCTATACTGCTACGGGGGGAGTAGGGTCCATCAAGACACTTCTCTGTCTTATCGGCGAAGACCCTTGACCGAGATGCATCTTATTGTCATCCTTGGAATTGACACCGAACACATATACCGTTATATGCGCACAACAGATACGAACGGCATCGTTAAATCGCAATTAGTAGGTATGTGCTAAGTCTCGTATCTCACCAGTGAAAGTTATTTCAATCCTCAGATTGGAGCTATGTGCAGCGCTTCTCTTATCGCGTCTAATAGACGTAATCATACCTGCACTAAAACTGAATATATGACGACGATACTTATGGACGGATTCGACTGTCACATTAGATTGATAATCCACGGATTCGAGTAGATGGAAGACGTTTGTTGCGAATCGAGTATGCGAAATCCATACGTTGACCGATCGCGCGGAGTGGGGGCATGTGATGTCGAACAACAATCCGGCAGACGTATTGTCGCGGGGTGTACGCCTAGCGAGCTAAAATATAACACTCAGTGGTGGCATGATTCGGCATGGCTGGAGAGTAAATCGTTTAAATGTTCAATTTCATACACAAAAAACATGGAATATGTTAGTGACGTTAAAAGTGAAGAAAAGACCGCACTAATAGTTGTGTGCACCTCAAAAAAAGACGTGTCGTTAGGTATTAATAAATATTCGTCGCTGACTAAATTACTAGTTTCGTATTTATTACGATTTAAAAATAATGCGTCATCAAAACGGAACAATACTTCTCTTTTCGTCGGACCTCTAACTGTAAATGAAGTATCAAAAGCGACTAAAACTATTATAAAACTTATACAACGTGCACATTTTTCATTAGAAATTGAAGAGTTAAAAATAATTATAATGTGTCAGTACAAAGCAAAATTAATAAGTTAAATCCGTTTATAGACGACAACGGAATCGTGCGCGTAAGTGGAAGGTTGAGAAACGCGACGAATATCAATACCGATCAACGTTTTCCAATCATATTACCCAGTGAAACAAAATTTTTAAATTTTATTATGCTACATGAACATAAAAAATTAATGCATGCCTAGGTGCATGCTAACCTATGCCGGACCATATGCTACGCTTGTCTCAGTGCACATGAAATACTGGCCAATCAATGGACAGAGATATGTAAGAAAAGTAATACATCAGTGCGTAACATGTTTTAAAGTACGGCCAAAAAATATACGTCGCCTATTATGGGTAATTTTCCCACGTTTCGAATCGACCGTCCAATTAGGTACTTTGAAAACTGCGGTGGTAGTTACGCAGGTCCTTTCTTGTTAAAATACAGTAACCGGCAAAACGCCGCGTCTCAAAAAGCATACTTATACGACATACGTATTTGTATGTAAGAGCGCCACATTTTGGTGGTATACGGGAGGCAGCAGTACACAGCATAAAAAATTTCTTGAACCGCAACGTAGCACTTGTAAAATTAACTTACGATGAATTTTATACTTAATTATTACGAATTGAAGCGTGTTTAAACTCACGGCCGCTCACCCCCTTATCTACCGATCTCCTCAATCTTTCCGTCCTTACTCCTGGCTATTTTTTGATATGAGATTCACTTCTATCATTACCAGAACCCGACATAAGTAATTTAGCATATAACCTGTTGTCACGGTGGCAAAAGGTTCAAAACCTCGTGCAGCAAATTTGGAAGCGTTGGAGTGTAAAATATCTGAGTCAACTCCAAGAGTGCAAAAAGTGGGACAAATCTCGTGGTCTCTCGGTAAAATTGGGTTCAATGGTAATAATCAGAAATACCAATTTACCTTCGCTACAATGGCACCTAGGCCGCGTAATCGACGTATTTCCAAGCAAAGATGGTGTGATGCGGGTTGCAAATGTTGCAATGGTCAATACAGCGAGTTAGCCAAGGAAAAGGGCTATAAGGTTGTTATGTCCATTGCCGATTCAAGACAATGTCAATACAGAACTAAATGGAAATAAATAAAAAATGTATATATAAATTAAGTTTAACTTAATACCTGTTTGTTTAATTTTGTAACCATATTATGTTAGCAAAAGCACTTATTTTATGTTTAGTGTATTATTCAACTACATTGTACATTTGTTCAGTTAATATTTATATTATGTGAGGTGAATGAAATTATTTAGCATAAAATATTAATTATATTATTTTCAGTATCTTTTTTGATTGTGGGCTAATTTTATATTATGTTTATATAAACTTTCTATTAATTGGTTAAGTTATTTTTATTCTATTTGGCGGCCGTAACCTAAATTAATGTATTATATTTTGAAGACTGCACTTCAAGGTAACCCCTACGTTAAATTTATAAATTATTTAATATTATAGTCGACATCATTATAGTACAAATAGTATTTATGATATCGCCCTGGGTTGGGTATAATAACTATAATACCTAATTAGGCACGAGCCGCCAGTCCAATCTTAAAAACGCATCGGAAACATGCCGATCATTTCGTATCGTATTATGTAATTATGTTATATTAATACATCTAAGAACAATCATTTTAATACTGTGTTATTTCAATATTAATTTAATAATAAATAAGTAATCAATTATTATATACAGTCCACTGGTTTTTTTTTTTTTTTTTAATTCAATTATAAAATGAGCCAAAGTAATTTGATCAAAATAAATTCAGGAAATTTGTGCACAAAATGTAGTATTGATCCTTTATTAAGAATTTCGATAATATTTTCAATAATTTATTGTTCATCGTAGGTATAATACAACAATATTCTATTTTTATTTTATTTATTCATATAATTGACATAATATTTTTATTCAAATACAAATACTGCTAAACGACATTAGTTCATATAATTCATAATTATATATATGTATATAGGTGTATGATTAAATTACTTTTATGTTGAAAACAGCATTAATTGTTTTAATATATTTTATAACTAAACCTTATCTTCGCAGGCATTATGTACCCATGTAATATGTTTTATTGATTTTTATTTTATTTGTTTGATTAATTGTACAGTTGTATAAACATTTTTATTTTATGACTATTTCAAATATATCTACGAGGTAGTTTTTAAAATATATCACGTTAGTTGAAAGTGTTTAATTAGTTAAATAACAAAAAGTACGTTTTGCAGTATACTTAAGTCTTATCATATTAATAATTATTATATAAAAAAAAAAAAAATGAATAGTTTTATATTACTTATGTTTTTTGTTGTTCAATTTCAATTGTTTACCTGCGACGCTAATAATACGTCAAGTAACGAATTTGGTTTTAATTATTATACTATTAGGTATTGAAAGTGCACCAATTACATTTATCATATTTATACGCAATATCGTTGTGCCGCAAAAGTACCTCAATTTTTTAAATCATGTATTATTTGACTGAGAACAGTTAAATTTTCTCCACCAATTTGTATTTTACAATTTTTCAATGGATTCACGTGAAATAATATTTTACGCAGTACCAGTTATAGTAAATTGGTTGTGCCACACCGACATTTAGGATTCATGTAAAATGTAACAATACATTGAATATCATAAGAAACCTGGTTTCCATTTAGAGTCACAGTTATTCATATTAATTCTAAAGCTTAATGTTTATAAAACTTATTGATGTTGTTCTACTATCAAATCCACATGGCCAGGCAACAAATCTGTTCTCTATCCGTAGTGTAAAGCCAATCCTAAGCAAATGTTAACCATCAAGTTACCCATTTTTATTAGTATGATATTTATTAATGTTAACGATAAAATCAGAAAAAGCACAATAAAAATTTTAATATTTTAAATACGTCATTGCATAGACCTATTAGAAAGATAATAATATAACCTACGTATAAATTTTAATTCCTATGATATATTATTAAATTACAATAAACTAACTTGAAAAATAAGATATTTTTAAAATTGTATAAATTCTTCTTTAAAGCATACATTTAATTATAATTAATTAATATTATTTTTTTTAATGTTTTAAGTTACAGTTAGGTATTTCTAGGAATTTTACTCCATTTATACTACAATTAAAATACTTATAATTATTGTATGACGTAATAAGAAATTATTATTTTTACTTTTCAGAACTTGGAATATTACCGTGTATGTATTCAGGTAGCTATGATGTGAGTAATACTTATTGTCCAAATATTCCTATGCCAGTTAAAAAGATTCCAGATGAGTGTACATCATTTATTTATGATGCAATACAGTTTGATTCACAAATGGTAACTACTGAAGTTTGTGCTGATG